GCAGAAAGTGTAGACCCACCACCACCATCAACTGCAGAAAGTGTAGAGCCACCACCACCATCAACTGCAGAAAGTGTAGACCCACCACCACCATCAACTGCAGAAAGTGTAGACCCACCACCACCACCATCAACTGCAGAAAGTGTAGACCCACCACCACCACCATCAACTGCAGAAAGTGTAGACCCACCACCACCATCAACTGCAGAAAGTGTAGACCCACCACTTCCACCACCACCTGCAGAAAAGGTAGACCTACATCTACCACCAACATTAGAAAGTGTAGACCCACAACTACCACTAACACCTGCAGAAAAGGTAGACCTACATCTACCATCAACATTAGAAAGTGTAGACCCACCACTACCACCTGCAGAAAACGTAGACCTACATCTACCACTAACAATAGAAAGTGTAGACCCACCACTACCACTAACACCTGCAGAAAAGGTAGACCTACCACCACCACCACCAACTGCAGAAAGTGTAGACCCACCACCACCATCAACTGCAGAAAGTGTAGACCCAGCACTTCCACCACCAACTGCAGAAAAGGTAGACCTACATCTACCACCAACATTAGAAAGTGTAGACCCACCACTACCACTAACACCTGCAGAAAAGGTAGACCTACATCTACCACCAACATTAGAAAGTGTAGACCCACCACTACCACTAACACCTGAGGAAAAGGTAGACCTACATCTACAACCAACATTAGAAAGTGTAGACCCACCACTACCACTAACACCTGAGGAAAAGGTAGTCTCTCCACCAGATAATATTGACAGTCAACTTGAATTAAAAAATACTGAACATATAAGGAAGAGAGAAAAGAAGAGAAGAAAGTATTTAGCTGCCAAGAGGGGAGGAGCTGTGGTGCCCTCACCACATGTAGAATCATCATCATCAGAAAGCCAGGGGACAGATACATCTAGTAATAGTGACAGTGAGTCAGATAATGATTTGAAAAAAAATACTGAATTGCTTAGGAAAAAAAAACGCAGGAGAAAGAAGTCCAGAGCTACCAAGCAAAGAAAAGCCCTTGTACATGATGATGATGATGATGATGATTCATGCATATCGTCACCATTTCCACCACCCCCAGTGGAGGATTCATCATCAGGAGAAATTGGTGGTTTTTCGTCTGAAGATGAAGAGATGGCACGGTTAAGACTACGCAACCACAATGCCAAATTAATAGAAGAGACCTGGCGTACAGTATATACTGAACCAGCACACTACTCTGAGTCTGAAGATGATAGTAGTAGGGAAGATGATGATGGATGGAGTACAATGCTGAAAAAACGCCATACACGTCCTTTCACTGGTAACACACCTGGACCCAGCATTGATTTGGGTAAGGGGGCAAAACCCATTGATGCTTTCTATGCCATCTTTCCAAGATCTCTGGTGAAAGGATTATGGAAAGAAACCAACAGGTATGCCAACTGGTGCATCACTAAGAATGGAGGGGATAGATTCTGGTCTCCTGCTAGCAGCGAAGAAATAAGTGCACTGATTGGTATAATTGCTATCATGGGTGTTGATTCGAAACCAGAGATAGCAGACTACTGGTCCACCTACCAAGCAATTAGAAATGACTACATTGCCAACATCATGAGCCGCAATAGGTACCAAAAGCTGATGCAGTATTTTCACTGTAACAACCCAGAAAATGACCCAATGAATATAGTCAATGATGAAGAACGCAGAAAAAGAAAAAAAGAGGCACCTCTATATAAAGTACAGCCAGTACTGGATGCTGTCTTCATCAAGTCCCGGGAATGTTACAACATGCACCGTCAAATTTGCATAGATGAGTCCATTGTTGGCTACAAGGGTCGTTATGGAGGAGTACCTACAGTTTCTATTCAGAGAAAACCCAATGGTAAGGGATTCAAAATATATGCCTTGGCTGATAGCAAAACTGGATACAACTACAGGATTGAGATCATGTCAATGACTGGCAGTCATGAACAGTATAGTAGGGAAGTGTCCAGAACAAGGGACCTGTGTGAAAGACTTATCATTGACATAAGGGGACGTCATCATATCCTGTACACTGACAGTTATTATACCAGTGTAGATATGGTGAATTACCTGCTAGAAAATCATGAAATATATGTGGTTGGCAGCGTTAGGCAAGATAGAGTGGGATTCCCAAATGCTCTCCGTACCAACCCCAAGAAAAATAAAAATCACAAGGCAATAATGCAGCTTGAGAGGGGACAGTTTGTATCCAGACAAAAGGATAAAGTGGTGGCTATAACATGGAAGGACTCCACCCTCCTGAATATACTGACAACGTACTATGAGGGCTATAGAACCAAGAACCAAAGGGTTACCCGTTCCCTGCGCTCACAAGATACTGGCAGGAAAGTACCATACTCTCTCCCGGCCCCAGAAGCCATTTATGACTACAATCTGTACATGGGTGGAGTTGATAAGTCAAACCAACTCAGGTCCTATTATACAGCCCAGCGCCAGTCAAAGAAATGGTGGAAGTACATGTTTTTCTACCTTCTGGATACTGCTATATGCAATAGTTGGATCCTTTACAAAGAATCAGTGGATCCAAAGAAAACGCACAAGGCCTTCCAAATTGAAGTTGGCATGGCACTGGTTGGTGGGTTTTCATCCCGGAAGCAGCAGACCAGAAATTCTGAACCTGTCATCAGCTCATTCAAGAACCACCATTTAATCCATGGTCGGTGCACCCGCGGCACATCCTGCAGATGGTGCATTCAGTTAGGGAGAAAAACAAAAAAAGGTTGTCCTGTATCGACTGTGTTCAGATGTCAGGAGTGCAGCATCAACCTATGCAAAGGCTGTTTTCTGCCCTACCATCATGTGGCCACAGGATGCCCAGACAGACCCAAGACAACACAGACAGATGAAGATGATCTTGAAGAGTCCAGAAAAAGATGGGATCATGACAGAAGAGAGAGTAAGGCAGTCAGAGGCGGGAGAAGAGGCGGTAAAGTTGGAACAAGAGGAAGAAGAGTCTAAAGAACAGACTACAAATGTATGAACTATTGGGCCCCAGGGTGGGGGGTCTTGATAGAGGACTTAGAAGACATGTACATGTAAGTTGACCATGTTTTTTTTTTATACTTGCAGCGTAGTAGTAGAAGTCTCAGAGTAGAAGATATAAATTATATACCTGGCGTATACTATACTATATTATTATAGAAGCCGTGCAGTACCATAAAATCTGTATTAGAAGCCGCATCCCTAATAGAAGTCGCATCCATTCTATTTGAATAATTGAGAACCAAAAATTCATCATTTCTCATATGTGTAGATGCTCTAATAGAAGCCGCATCCCCTCTGTTGCATTGTACCATTTTAATAGAAGCCGCGGCTTCTAATACAGATTTTACAGTACTTTGTTTTGCAGGTAATTAGATGTCATAATGTAGATAGCCATATCTAATATATATGCTTTATGTCAGAGTCATTTTGAAACTACTTGGTACAGGGGGCAAAAATATAAGAAAAATTGTCAACACAAGGGGTACGGTAATATTGTGTGTTTTATGTAGCCAAGTGCTACTCCAAGTAGTGTGTGGTGACCCAAAATGAACTTGTGTACATCAGTCAAGTAGTTTATTAATTCAAGTAGTTGTCAAATACTAAAGATTGCACACAGCTGACTAAACTGTACTTTATGGTATTAAGGCTACCCCAATGTTACACTATAGTAATTTGGGGTGGGCAAGTATCATGTTTTCATAGTATATCAGTTACCACCATGCATTAACAGGCATTTGACCTTGACACCCAGTGAGTATATTTAAACATAATAATAATAATAATAATAATAATAATAATAATAATAATAATAATAATGCCTTTAATGAAATTATACCTTGTTCAGGATCTGGATTTTTAAAATACAATAAAGTTTCAGAAACATTCAAAATGGCAAGACAAAATACAAATGATGACAAAATGAAAACATAATAAAATAAAAAGAACAAGGACTGATGGGAAAAACAAAACAGAAAAGGTATCTTAATGAGTTATATCAATTATAAATATTATAAGACAGCTGGTGTATGTTTTGTTTATGAGTGTCAATTCTTAAATTGAAGCACTCAAAGATATATTTTGCCAAATGAATTAGTGATTGTTTTATCTTTTGTTTTTAGAATGTCTACAGTGTTTTCAATATCAGATTTGTAAATTGTTGTAATGACTTTTGTGGTATGGTAGAACTTGTAAGCTTAAGCCACCCTGACACTTGCACGACTTTTGGCCACTATTTTGTCGTGGCAAGTCATGCCATTTTGGGACACGAACAGGGAGGCTCCCGCACTGTTCACGACTAGTTCATGACAAGTTCACGAATAGTTCATGAATGCGTGCCCATCAGTGTCCACATTGACACGAACAGGCATGACAAGTTCACGCATGGTTTGCACATAGTTTACGCACTTCCTGCATTGGCACGACGAGTTTGTGTACGTTAGCTGATCGTGAACTATTCATGGCAGTTTGTGACAGTCGTGGCATGGTGCCACCCACTGGCACGCATCCTCCCGACGAGTTCATGAACAGTGACAAAAATGTTGAACATTTCAAATTTCTCGTCCCAACATGGCACGCAGTCACAACAGGTTTATGCACACTTCACGCCAGTTTACGACTAGTTTGCGGACTGGCACAACGTGAGTCGTGCCAATGCGTGCCACAGAATTGTGCTAGTGTCAGGGTGACTTATGTTTTTTTACATCTTCCTTGTATTTTTCAAAATCGAAATTAAGTTCTTAACTTATTTTTGCAATTATTACCTTTGTTATCATTATATAGTGTCTCTTTAAAATGATTTTTGAACATAGATATTCCTCTCAAGGGATGTAATAATTGTCTGTTTTTTATCTGCTGTCACAGTATCCAACATATGGTGCATACTTGTAATATTGAATATGTTTTTAGTGTTGGACATCCAATTTTTATCCTTTTTTGAGTCCATATATTTGCCTAGTCTGAAGGCCTCATAGATTAAAGTGTTGCATGGTTTGTCAGAAATTCTGAGCCAATATTTTATTTTCTGTACAATGCTTGAGAAGGCAAGAGGATACCTTCTTAATTCCAGAAGGCAAGCTATATTTGATGCTTTGCAGTTAACTTTTAAAAGAAATTTGCAAAATTTATTGTGAAATTTGTCCATTGGTATATTAAAGTTGAACAGGTTTTGCATATTACCTAATATTTTCATTTGACCATATTTCACAGCAGTACAGCAACACTGGTTTAATTACAGAGTCAAACATTTTGAGATATATTTTAATTGGGATGTTTGTTTCAGAAAATAATTGTTGTTTTAACTTGAAACATGCTTTCATAGCTCTGTTTGTGAGATCTTCCTGTACATTGGGCCATTCCAGTTTATGTCTGCACCCCCCTGCTGATGAGTTTGTGTGTTTACTTCATAGAGGGTATAATTTCCATGGGTGTATAAGTCATACAAAGTTTTATTTCCAAATCACCATTCACCATACAGTAATGGAAATCCAAAACTATAGGTCCTACTTATGATGTTGATGAGTTCCTTTGTGACACCATACAGAGTAGGATTTCCAAATATAACTCTCATCATATGCTAATTTACCAAGTTCAAAATTTTATATCTGATAATGG